TCTATACTAAGAAAAGCAGAAAAATGAAGCTCTGTTCTAGAGGACTATGAGACAGACAGTGGCCTTTCTTCACTCACGTGTCTGAACACATTTGCCCTAACATTTGATATCCAAAGTGTCAGAGGCTAATGGTCACCACTCATGTAAAGGTCTAGAACAACACCATGCAATTGAACTTCCTGCCATGATGAAAGTGTCCTATTCTGGGCTGTCCAATCTGGAAGCCACATGCAGCTACTTGCACACTTGAAATGTGATTAGTGCAACCAAAAAAATGCGTTTTTTATTTTATTTCATTTTAATTAATATCATTGTAAATAGCTACACATAGTTAGTGGCTACCGGATCAAACACCACATGTCTAGAATGCAGGACTGATTAGCTTCAAAGGCTTGTGAAGCTTCTTATATTTATTAGCTTTTGCATACATGAATTAAGATTTCATCCAAGACACAGCTCTTGCTGCCTGCTCCATCTCACACCTTTCACTTTTACAATTATCTGACTCCTTATCAGCTCAATGTGTCTCTGCTTGATCCAAAGTGCCAGGAGGATAGCACTAGCCTGTCTTATTCAGCTCTCTGTCCTGGCCTGGAACAGGGCCCCGCAGACTGTAGACACTTGCTCACTGATCAGACATGAGAGAAGCAAGTCAAAAAGGAAGCATCGTTCTTGGAAGGATTAAGCATAGAAAGTTGTTCCTGCATACTTAAGCCTCATTTTAGAAGCCATTTCTGGGTTGCATAGATCAATAGGATTCTTGGTAGCTAACCCAATCTTTCCCCATTTTAATTCCCTTCTACCCATTACTCACACAAAAGTAAGCAATATTGCTCACCATAGGCTTTATATATCCAATATTACATTTTTATCAAAAAATCCATTATTTCATGATTTTCCTAAAATGAATCACTTCTAAACCATTATGTATTCCTTTGATTCTTCCCCCCCACAAAAAAAACACCAGGCTCATTTGTATCACTTAGCTGACATTCTATAGGCCAAACACAGCATACCCAGAGGCAGGTTGGTTAGAAATGGTCTATAATATCTGGCTGTTTTCCTTACAAAGCAAAAAGTATATATGTAAAAGCAGATATATTTCTAAAAACAAAGCATGTATATATTATACACACACAGGCACATACACACACACGTACATACATATGCACACATATATATCTCTACACACACGCACATTATTGAGCTTCTAATTGTCAAGTCCTGTATCACACTCTTAAAGCCATATAATTATGGTGGTCAGAAAAAATAGTATTAAAATTCTAGCTCTTCTACTCTTTTAGATAAGCACTTTTGGGAAAATTACTCAGTTTTACAAGTTTATTGAAAGGATTAGATACTATACTGTCTATGAAAGCAACTGGAAGAGGGCCTGACATACAGCAGGTATGCTGTGTTTGCTGAATGAAGAACTTATTTCATCTGTTTCTTGGAACCTCTTTGAGAGGCTTACAGACCCCCTAAGAATGGACAAGAGTCGGTTATCTTCTGATTTAAAGTGAGCAGTATCTAAAGATTAAAAGCAGAATTAAGGGCAAGCTACTGACTGGGAATTGAAGAAACAAAGGAAAGAGATATATCACGGTCTTATGAAAATGGAAGAACTCAATCAAAAAAGACATTTCTGATGCCTGATAAAGATTAAATAAAAGGCCTTTCTCTGCTCTTTGGAAATAGTTCAACTCAGGCTACCTTTGTAGAATCAAATATGTAGTTTATTGCCATAACTATGGCTAAACTGTCATCTGTTTATCTTTGGAATATTAAAGATCACAAGACCGCTCACTATTCAGCCTCAAAACCTTCCATTTGGTAAATTTGATTTCTACACCTTTGCCTATTCTAGAGCTTCTTCAACATTCAGATAGAATTTATTGGGTTGTCAGAAAAGTCATGACATATTTTGTCTATGTTTTTCAAAGGTCATTTATTTATATAAAGAACATAGATCAATCAATGATATATTGCAGATTTTGTTCAAGAACCTTTTGCCATCTTTCAGTGAGCTTCATAACCCCTGTTCATAGAAGGACCTGTCTATTTGCGAAAAACTGAACAAGGTGCTGATTTACAGCCTCATCTGAATTGAATGTTATACCATGCCAGGTATGTAACTATAAAGTACTCCTTTAAGAAGTTAACCTCTGTCTTTTAATATAAAGTACTCCTTTAAGAAGTTAACCTCTGTCTTTTGCTATAAAGTACTCCTTTAAGAAATTAACCTCTGTCTTTTGTTTCTAGACTCCCTGGGAGGGAAATACTTCAGAGTCAAGATCCTAGGAAACAATATCAACAGGAAAGAGGGGAAGGTCTTGGAACTTGTCCATTCATACCTCAGCTTCCTGCAGCATACCATGGTTGAGGCACACCATGTCAGGGCAAGTGATGGGAGACCCACATCCTTCCCGGATTGCCAGCTGCATGTACTGTTTCAGGCACTAGAAGTTAAGAAGAAAAAAAGACAATTACCCATCACATTACAGTAGCACAAAGGTTACAAAACTACCACTGGCTTGTCTTCTTTACTGGGCAGTCCTGGGGCTCTTGCACTAGGGAAATATAAGTTATCACAAGTGTGAATCCTGAGAGCCATCACTTTGGAAAGAATGCAGAGACAGGCAATTAGTTATATGTGACTTCATCCTAAGAATACTCAGTTTATTCAAGGCAATAAGTCAAATTCCTGTATGCTCACACATTTTATCCACCATAGATTGGGAAAAGGGGAAACACTCTTTTACATTAATGGCTAAAGCCTTCTTTTTACTTTTTTTTTTAAACTTATGTGACTAAGGGGCCGGCCGAGTGGCTCAGTTGGTTAAGAGCTCACTCAAGGGTTTGAGCTCTGAGCAACAGCGGTTCGAGTCCAGCCCCAGCTGAGCTGCTGCTGAGCTGCCAACAGGTGGCAGGATGGCTCAGCTTAAAAAACAATAATAAAAATAAAAAATAAACTTATGTGACTATTCAATTTCATTTTTATCTAGTGGTCCTCTCCCTCAAAGTTTGCCCCAAAGTAGAACTGTGACCCTCATGTTGAGCCAGCCAAAGAAAATCAAAACAAGATTAAGGCACTGACTTATCCAGGAAAACCCTTAACAGCAAATATACCAGGGAAAGATAATCTCAAAGACAATTTGGGAGAATGAGACCTTCCCAAAATTATGGGCCTTGGTGGATGCTATGATGAGGAGGTTTGAGTGGAACCTGAGGAAAGAAAAGATTAGATAGGAAAAAGGAAGCCTGGAGAGAAGAGGAAGAACACCAAGGACAAACCTGATCCACTCATTGCCTGTGGCACCTGGATCTTGGGCAGCGTGTGGAGGTATGAGTCAGACTGAGAAAGTTGGAGAAGAACCGATATGATGGAGACCTCTAACACCTCCCTTCTCCCTCTCAACCCATCTCCACATGCCCATAGGAAGCTGAACGCTGTACTTCCAGAAGATAAAACTCTTAAGAAATCCAAAATGTGGCTTCTCAATTTCTCCTAATTTTCTCCTAATTGGTCAGTTCTTTTCTATATGCATGATGAAAAATATCAAACTCAAATGTTTCAGGAGGACACCCCCAAAATACATCAACTAGTCAATGAATTAATGACTCTCACAAAGTGATCATTATTTATAATTGGGTTCAGATCTTTAAAATTTATACATTTATGTATCAACCTGCTACACTAAAAGAATTGCCAATGCACCAGCCTTTTATAAAACCTTAACTACTAAATAAATTCTATGGTCAGAATACTGATGACATAATTGTGAAATCTATTCTTTTCATTGACCATCTTTATTCATTTTCCCCATCTGAAAATAAAACTAATATCACAATTGTATTATTTCAAGAAAACTAATCATGTATTTATCTGATTGAAATTACTATTATAATACACTAATAAATCAATGACTAGGGCAAACCATTTAAACCAGATTTGTATTTCTTCAAGTACATAATAATTCCCTTCTCCAAGGAGCCCATTTTTTTTTCCGATGATGTTCATCAAGAAAAGAAAAAAGAAAAACTAGAAAATAACCTAAATATCCAAAATGAACATGTAAATAAATTATGCTAAATCCATGCAATGGAATGAAGAACCATGAAAAATATTTTCAAATGATGTTTAAAGACATGAGAAAATGCTCATGATTTAGTATGAATTGGGGAATAAAAGACACCTGGAAACAGGGGTCTTAAGTCACTCTTCCCCTACAATTGACTGCAATATAGATACTGTATTTTAACTTTCACTTTCTTGTTCAAGACAAGAGTGAACAATCGCTTTTGCTGGGAGTTACTGTGCCAAACATGGTCTTTGGTTCTAAGGAGAGTGGTAAATAGGAGAGAGCAACAGCAAGGGAAATGGGGAAGAACTTCAATGGTCAGGCAAACCTCAAGAGAAGCAACAGAGGTGGCTCACACAAAGGAGTGCCACATCAAGGGACAAATGAATACACGATGGGAAGGCTTGTCCACCCCACTCTGCTCCTGAGGACCTCTCAGCCTTCCATCTGCCACACAGAGTCCAAGGTTACTGCCTTGATCACCCCAGCTGCTACTTGAAATTTAAGTAGAAAGGCTCTGAAAATGTATGGTCTCTGGATTCAAGGGGAAGGTATCCAAAGAAAACCAAGTGAACAATGCTATGACGTCAGTCAAATCCTAGTATCTGGCTGGCTCTAACCCAGGCACCCCTCTGTCAGGTGACAATGGTAAAATTATGTAAACTATGACCCAGGCTTGCTTACCTTAATTTTTAAAATGGGGACAATAATACCTGTCATGGTTACCTCACAGGGTTTAAAACATTAACACACACAAACACAGACCTGAAATTTTATATATGCATGCCCTTTGAAAATCTGCCAGTTGCAGAATATTTGCTCATATTTCTACTCCACTTCATCTGGTGGTCTTAGACTTTCTATCAAAATCTTTGAGGGGAAATGTTAATCCTCTGACCTTCTCAGATTATCCTTTTTCCACTCCCTGCAGGGGATCAGTTAAGCCACTTATGGTAGAGAAGTTCCATAGACAGAACAAATATTTGTAAGAGAACATCCCACACACCTCTTTTCAGGCCTCTCCTTAGAACTGTTTGGCTCTACAGAAAAAGCTTAGGGTTAAGTAGGAACTAATATGACTATATGAGTCTTTATAGGCAAAAAAAAAAAAAATCATTTCCACTTACATTGCAAATTTGTAAAGTTGAAACTTAAGCTTTCCCAAGAGTTTATATTGGATGTTCTATTTACTAATGTCATGTTCGTAGGTACACTGTAACCACAATACATGAACCCAATGAATGTTTAAGCTTCCCACAAGTGCTCTCCTGGCCACAATATTACATGAGCCATGATTTTAGGAGAGAAGTTAGAGCTGTATACACCAACTACAGGGTGTAAGTATATATAACCTATATACCCTTGTTTTAAATTCTAAGAAACACTTGTTCAAGAAAGAGATTTGTCAGTGCAGGCACATGACACTCCATCACTAGGGACCTGCATTTCTATTCAAAGGCAAAGAGGGAAAACAAACAGCTCTAGTTATTCCTTGAATTGTCCAGTACCTTAGGTTCATTATATGTCTTCATTTAGCTTTCACAAAAAAAAGTAACCTTGAACTCTCCCTCTCTTCTTCAAAACCTCTGGCTAAAGCACAAAAAAAACAAACACATTCACATGAATCCCCATGCATGTTATACGAACCAAACGTAAGTAAATGGTTAACAATTCTAGCAGAAACTGGAATCCAGCTTGTAAACAAAGACAGAGAAACACAGAAAGAGAAAAAAGAAAACAACCATCATTTAGTCACATTGGGAAAAAATTACATTCCAATAAACAATAGCATTAAACAGATGTCTAAATATGCAATTTCCGTAACAGCTAACAAGTTTTAAGGGAAATGTTTCAAATAGAACATTTCAATAATCCTGATGACCAAACAAAGAAAAAAACAATTTTTCTTTTGAATGGTCAACATTTCACTTAATTAGTTTGGTAGAACACAGAAATATTATTTGGCCACGCTGTGTCATGTATAATAACGACTGTTCCTTAAAAATCATTCCACAGCCCTCAAGGGTTCAAATGGGATCTAACCAAGGATTTAACCATCAAACACCTGGCGAACCAGATGACTTGTATTGTCTCTTCCAACCCTGAGAACCTATGAATTATGCACAATGGACCATTCCCAGAAAGAGGTTTCTCTTAGACACGTCAGGGGTGTTATTTTCCAATGTACCAAAGAGTATTCTTCATAGGTGTTTTCATCTATTAGGTGGACAAGGCAAAAAGGGCTACAACATTTAGACAAAGCTCCTACAGCTCCAACGAAGAACAATATACAAATGTGTATATATATACAATACATATATTTACAATATAGTTACTCTTTCTCTGTCACTAAATAGAACATGTCTTAAAATTTTTTTCTAAGGAAAAAAAGTCATTACAATGAATAGTCAGTGGAACTGAAGCCTAACAATTAAGTTTCAAGTACAAGCTCTAAAGTTTCCTCGGCATCTTGGGCAAGTCATTAACCTCTCTAGCTACAGCACTCTCAATTATAAAATGGGACAATACCACATGTCTAGCATACTCTCAGGGCAATGGAGTCTTTAATGAGGGTAAAGTCATGAAAATACAATGAAAAATAAAAAGAGATACGCAAACATGAAGTACAGTTGGAAAATGGATAGACAGGCAACGGACATGAAAATCCCCAAACAGATGTGACCCCTGGGGATTAGTCTCATGACAGTGGGAAGGGGAGGGTAAGAGGAGAATAGGTATTATTGGGAGGAAAGAAGTAATGGGTTCTATTAGCTGAAAGTTTAAAATGGTCCCCAGGCTCTTAGATGCTTCTGGATGCAGGTTCTGGGGTTCTGAGGTCGAAGAAGGACTGGTAGCCCACTTGGCTTGAAGCTGAGTTGGTGAAGTATTGACCTTGGGTTCCTCATCCCTAACTCAGCCATGGGTAGAAAGGAAGGTGATGAGGGGGAAAGTACCTAAAGGCCAAACCCTAGACAGGCCTTGAGTTTAAAAGTTTGCTTTTGATCATTCCTGGTACAATGCAGGACACCAAAATGAATACTTAATAAAAATGTAGACTAACTCATCTCTGCCTCAGCACACAATTACAGCTCAAGAGTGTTTTAAATAACATCTTCCATTGAGGCCAATATTCTGCTCACTCCAGTTCAGACTATGATTTCTATACATGGTCCTTTGTTGGATGCTGCTAAGTTCAATTATTAGTAAACTCAAGATGGTATATCTCTCCCAATTCAAAAGATTTTTAACACACCAAAAGCATCCTGGTTTGGAAATGTATAATGGTTTGAAAAATTCAAATAAATCGGTAATCTATAGCTAGGCAGTGAGTGGCAGTAAGTTAGTTTCCTAGTATGGCATGATTCTGAAACTTTTTT